ACTGTATGGATCACAGCAAACTGTGGACAAATCTTAAAGAGATTGCAATACCAGACCACCTGACCTGCCTCCTGAGAAATCTGTATGCAGGTCAAGAAGCAACAGTTAGAACTGGACATGGAACAATAGACTGGTTCCAAACCAGGAAAGGAGTATGTCAAGGCTGTATATTGTCGCCCTAAGCTTATTTAACTTATATGCAGAGTACATCATGTGAAATGCTGGGCTGGATGAAGCACAAGCTGGAGTCAAGACTGCCAGGAGAAATGTCACTAGCCTGAGTATGCAGATGACACCACCCTTATAGCAGAAAGTGAAGAGGAACTAAAGAGCCTCTTGATGAAACTGAAAGATGAGAGTGAAAAAGTTGGCTTAAAACTCAGCATTCAGAAAACTAAGATCATGGCCTCTGGTCCCATCACTTCATGGGAAATAGATGGGGAAACAGTGGAAACAGTGACATACTTTATTTTTTGAGGCTCCAAAATCACTGCAGATGGTGATTACAGCCATGAAATTAAAAGACGCTTGCTCCTTGGAAGAAAAGTTATGACCAACCTAGACAACATATTAAAAAGCAGAGACATTACTTTGTCAACAAAGGTCCATCTAGCAAAACTATGGTTTTTCCAGTAGTCATGTATGGATGTGAGAGTTGGACTACAAAGAAAGCTGAGCGCCAAATAATTGATACTTCTGAACTGTGGTGTTGGAGAAGACTCGAGAGTCCCTTGGACTGCAAGGAGATCCAAACAGTTCATCCTAAAGGAGATCAGTCCTGAATATTCATTGGAAGGACTGATGCTGAAGCTGAAACTCCAATACCTTGGCCACCTGGTGCGAAGAACTGACTCATTTGAAAAGGCCCTGATGCTGGGAAAGATTGAAGGTGGGTGGAGAAGGGGATGACAGAGGATGAGATGGTTGGATGGCATCATGAACACAATGGACATGAGTTTGAGAGGGCTCTGGGAGCTGGTGATGGACAGGGAAGCCTGGTGTGGTGAAGTCCATGGGGTTGCAAAGAGTTGGACACAACTGAGTGACTGAACTGAACTGAAGGGTTTGTGCTTTGCAACTATTGCAACTATTGCAAATATTGTCACATTGCCTCTGATGGAGACTGACCAGTTTACCAGTCTCACCAACAATGTATCAGAATACCCATTTCCTCATATGCTCACCAACACAGTATATAATCAAACGTTCTGATTTGTGCTATTCTAATAGGTGAAGAGGAACTAAAAATCCTCTTGATGAAAGAGAAGGAGGAGAGTGAAAAAGTTGGCTTAAAGCTCAACATTCAGAAAACGAAGATCATGGCATCTGGTCCCATCACTTCATGGGAAATAGATGGGGAAACAGTGGAAACAGTGGCAGACTTTATTTTTGGGGGCTCCAAAATCACTGCAGATGGTGATTGCAGCCATGAAATTAAAAGATGCTTACTCCTTGGAAGGAAAGTTATGATCAACCTAGATAGCATATTAAAAAGCAGAGACATTACTTTGCCAACAAAGGTCCATCTAGTCAAGGCTATGGTTTTTCCAGTGGTCATGTATGGATGTGAGAGTTGGACTGTGAAGAAAGCTGAGCGCCGAAGAATTGATGCTTTTGAACTGTGGTGTTGGAGAAGACTCTTGAGAGTCCCTTGGACTGCAAGGAGACCCAACCTGTCCATCCTAAAGATCAGTCCTGGGTGTTCATTGGATGGACTGATGCTGAAGCTGAAACTCCAGTACTTTGGCCAACTCATGCAAAGAGTTGACTCATTGGAAAAGACCCTGATTCTGGGAGGGACTGGGGCAGGAGGAGAAGGGGATGACAGAGGATGAGATGGATGGATGGCATCACCGACTCGATGGACATGAGTTTGAGTAAACTCTGGGAGTTGGTGATGGACAGGGAGGCCTGGCATGCTGCGATTTATGGGGTCGCAAAGAGTCAAACACGACTGAGCAACTGAACTGAACTGAACTGAATAGGTAAAAAATGATAACATAATTTAAATTTGCATTTTTCATTATATGAGAGTTGTGCATCTTTAATAAGTTTGAGACATTTCATATTTTCTTTTCATATCCTTTTGTTTTTTATTATTACACTTTAGTCTTATAAATTTATAGGAACTCCTTTAGATATTAGGGAGATTAACTGTAGGAAATAAGTTGTAAATATTTTTTCCAGTCTGTCATTTACCTTTTGGCTTAACTTACGTTTTTCTTTGGTATACCTTTTCAAAAATAGAACTTATCAAGCTACATTTTATGTCATAGTAGAAAGGTCTTTGTACTCTGAAATTATAAACAGATTATTTTATGTTTTTTTTTTAATATTTAAAATTTTGACACATCTGGGAGTTAGCCTAGTGTACAGTATAGGGTATGGATCCAACATGTTTTCCTGGATGGCCCATTTGGTTGGGAAACTTCTTACTGGTGTCATTCTCGGATTATCTTCCACATGCACGTGGATCACATTTCTGTTTGTCTAGCCCAGAGATCATAGCTCAGATGCTTGTAGAGACTAGGCAGGTTACATAAAAGGGTGAAGAGTGCCAGGTGGGGAGGTTAGCCAGCTTCAAATAGGATGGCATGCTTTTCTAAAGAGGCAGCTACTACCCCCTGCCTGCTGATCATTCCCTTGCAGGGAGCATCAGGGCCCAGTGTTACCAGATCTTTGTCAAGAGAAGCTGGAAATCCAGATTTTTTACGTGAAATCTCTTAATTTTAAAATATTAACATCAGCTTTAAAAAGTTAAATACAGTTCTGGTTGAACAAAATGTGTCTTCAAACCTGATTTGACTCAGAGAAGGCTCCTAATCTCCTTAGCCAAGAATGAAACTTACCAGCTCCACTCTCCTATAAGAAAACACAACCCCAGTCTAGTAGCTGGACAGTCCAGCAGTTTATAGCTGGAGTTCAAGAAGAGAGAGAAAAGTGAAGAGGTCTAGATTAGCCAAGGTCTTTGCCCTCACTTATGGAAAGATTCTTTGGAGAAATACAAGCATTTCATTATTCTACCTTTTATCCTAATTACATGGGAATGTGGATGTGGCCATTCTTTTTAAAGGAAGTATTTCTTATTTACAGTAGTTTTAGGGGTACAACATAAGAATTCAATATTTTTTATATATTTTGCTCTTCTTGAACTTACAACAAAACAATGGCTATATTTCCTTGCTGTACAACATATCCTTGTTACTTATCTATTTGAAAAGGTTCTTGATTCAGTGGATACTTGAATTAGAAAAATGATCTAAGTTTTCCTTCTCTGCCATTATGATTTTGCCAAAATGACAAAATGATGCTTGTTTTAACTGCTCTGCTACTGATTTTGAACCGACTTTGAAGCGTGGCACACTGGCTTTTTGTACCTTGCTTTTCCTTACCCTTCCTCAGGGATGGTGGCTGGCAACAATCTATTGTAACTCATGTATGTGTTCAGCATCTTTAGTGGGATAAAATTTATGCTAATGATAAAGTTTCCAGAGTCTTCAATTCAGGAAGGGTTAAGGTCTGGGGATCTTTTGGGGGTTGCTAGTGAGTAGTGCTGGCCCCAAGGGCAGATCCAGGTTTTGTGGGATCTAGTTTTCCTGGTGGCTCAGAGGTTAAAGTGTCTGCCTGGCAATGCGGGAGACCCGGGTTTGATTCCTGAGTCAGGAAGATCCCCTGGAGAAGGAAATAGCAACCCACTCCATTCTTGTCTGGGAAATCCATGGACGGAGGAGCTTGGTGGCCTACAGTCCACCGGGTCGCACAGAGTCGGACACGACTGAGCGATTACACTTCATTAAGAAAACAATGCAAAAATACGGAAAGTTTTACCAAAACGGTATGAAATTTCTGTGAACACATAAGGGCTCGTGCAAGTGAAGGACTTTTAAGTTCAAGCTTGATTAACACTGCCATCTGCCTTTTTTGGCCCTACTATGCGCCAAGGACTTTCCACTCCTCACCTTCTTCAGTCCCCACAACACTACACTATGAAATAGTTACATATACAGAAGAGCCATTAAACAAACACATTAACAAACACATTAAACATCGTGTCCAGCCTGAAGACCCCTTTCTTTCCAACTCTATATTGCTTCCCACGACTGGAGTTCTGGGGCTTGAGGAATGGCATCGAGTCAGGATTGTCGTGGGAAGGAGTGTGTAAAACGCAGTCAGGGAGCTAGGGAGTGTTTCTGAAACTGGCTCGCGGAAAGCGCCCAGGAGAGGGGCATTCGGGAGGGAAGGCCCCCGCGCCCAGCCGGCGCCTCGGCCAGCTCTGCGGCGCGCATGCTCCGTGAGGGGCTGCTCCAGCTACTCCAGTGAGTGAGCGCGCGGCGGAGGGGGCGGGCCGAGCCGCGGCCGCTGGGACCTGAGCTTGGCGGCGGCCCTGGGGCGCTGTGCGCGGCTGCTGAAGGGGTGGCGGCGGCGGCCGGCACAGTGCGCGCAGGAGTGTGGCTTGCTCGCCCGACGCGCACGCCCGGTCGGTCCCCAGGGCCCCCTGGAGGTGACTCGGGCGGCCCGGGCAGGGCAGCGTTGCAGATTGGGAGGGCGGAGATGAGGCGATGAGGACACAAGCTACCGTCTTCTCTGTCCGCCTACTGCGGCCGTAGCGGGAGTCGGGGCGGGGGCGAGGCCAGCTATACCCACGCCGGGCTGCGAACCCAGACAAAGGAGGAGCAGCAGCCCCAGAAGCGGGCCAGCGCCGCCGGGAAGGGAGGCCGCCGCTTTAGTCGCAACCGAGGGTCGCCCGGGCTCAGGGGGCCGCCGCGCTTCCCCTGAGGACGCTGCGCGAGGCGAGGTCGCGGGGCCGAGGAAGCCGCCCCCGGAGCCCCCGCCCGCCCGCCGGCGCCGCCTCCGAGCCGCCTCGGCCGTAGCCCCGGCCCGGGCGGGAGGCGGCGGCGGCCGGCGAGGCTAGGCGGCCCGCGCCCTGCCTGTCAGATCACCGGCCCGGCCCGTTTCGGCCCGCGGGCCGCCCCCGATGCGGAGGCGCTGCCGGCGGGGCCATGCAGCAGGCGCCGCAGCCTTACGAGTTCTACAGCGAAGAGAACAGTCCGAAATGGCGGGGACTGTTGGTCTCGGCCCTGCGGAAGGTCAGTGTTGGTGCCCGGGCGGCCTCGGGGCCCGAGGGAGGTGCCGGGGCCGAGGCAGGCGCCAGGCGGGCGGGGCGCGAGCCACGGCCCTAGCCGCGGCCCCTCGGACGCTCTAACGGGGAGCTGCACGCCTTCCCCGCGCTCGGCGCCGGAGGGCCCAGCGCTTTCTTTCCGGCCGGCGACGAGGGGCTTCTGATGCCTGTTGCGTCCCAAAGGACGTTTTCTCAAGTTATTGCCTGGCCCCGGAAGGAAGGTTTTGTTATGATCATAAAACTGGATTTCATGTTGCAGTCGTTTCGTCAGGCGACTTCCGCCGTTGACCAATTTGTTGTCCTCGGGCTGGATTCGGGCAAGAGAAAGTCCCGCTGGTATTTAGACAGTTTCTAAAACAAAAGCACGTTTCTAGGCCAAGTAATCACTTTTAATTAAATTCTTTGGGGCTGTTCCCTTAGGCAGTTTGAAGGGTGAAGGGTGTCTACTCAAGAGGTTGTAATTTTTTTTTTTTTTTTTTGGTAAGATGGATGTGTTTCTCGATTGAGAAATGTCAGTGAGCCATAATATTGCTTTTACAATTCTTGAGGTCAATTTAAAGTGCCTCCTCCCTTCCTGCCATAGGCGTCCCCCTGTTTAGGAGAGATTTCCCCTGTAGAGTTTGGTCATTTTCTTCACTGAGTGCAATTTATTACTTAGAATCATTTTAAGTGGATGAAAAAGAAGCAGCTCATAAAAAAATCAGTCTTTTTAGTTTGGGTACATCGCTAGGGTGTATCTGTACTGTAGATGATGTCAGTTTTCCTCTGAATTTAGGTAATAATCGTACTTTTAAAAAAAATTTGTAATAATCATACGTTTTTGTAATAAAGCCTTTTGTAAGGTCAAGACGTTTAAAGAGTGTAAATGGGGGCAGAAGAAGATAAACATACTGAGCATGGGCTTTCCTTGCCATTGATACAGATGTAGTCCCTATTACCTTTTGTGCAAAATAACCAAATATAAATTTTAAAATAACAAGGAATAAACATTAATTTAAAAGACTACCCCGGGAAATAAATCTTCATACATTAAATTTCTCTAAGTGAAAGAAAGTAGTAGTATTTTAAAGTAAAAAACATCCCCTCACGTATTTCAGTTTCAGATTTGCCATTTTTTCACGATTCTTAGGAAGAGGTGTTGCGTTCCTTGGGCTAAACATCATGTAATATTTTTCAGAGAATTTGGTGGAGGTGGTTCAGAGCAGCTAGACAGTTATCATTTCACAGGTATTTTAGGTGTTAAAGTATTACATTGACCTTCCTTCCGTGGGCAACCCGATTCTATAAGGAGAGGGAAGGAAATGGCAAGTGTGCTGAGTAGTGATAATGAACACTGGCCTGAGTTAAAAGCAAAGAGGGAAATGCTTAGATAGTAATTGAGCCTTCCACCACATAGGCAGAAGTGTGAATGCAGTTATCAGGTAGGCCTATATTGTTGGCAGTGAGATGTAGGTCTCTTACTTACTAGTATTTTCTGGTAGCAAATAGAATTGGAGTATGTGTTGCATAACTTATTCAGTAGGTAGCTTTGACCGTAATAATCCCTCATGCACAGATACAGATTTATATCTTCAGGTTAGTCTGGAAAGAAACCCAGGGTAGCATCTGATCCTAGTTCATTGCTTTGAGTCTGTTATTTTGCATTTATATGTTGTGCTTGCTTTCATGGAACTCAGATGCCTTGTAGATCTCTCTTGTCTTATTCCACAGTTCTTGTATGTCCTTTGCTTATGGAATATATACAGCTAAGGAAATCTGGCCTTTTGAGGTGAATTAAAAAAACAATTTTTATTTAATTTATTATATTACTGTTATTCTGTAATTGAGGTATATTCCCATGGAACATATTTTTTTTTTTATGTTTTTGGAAATTTTTTGATGTTTGTAATTCCAGATTATGTCTAGTTTTGTGGTCGTGCAGCACGTAGGTTTATAGTGCTTGCTAGGTTTGTAGTTCTTGAGGAGTTCAAGGTTCACTCTTTGCAGGATGAGTTAAATTCTGGTCTGTGCTTGCCACAAGTGTCCTTGTACAGTGAGAATTCCTGCCACTTAGGCAGAGGCTCTGTCTTCACATTAAAGGCATCTAGAACATGGCTTCCTTCTTCCAGCTGACCAGATTATTGCAAACACTACTAGGATTAATACTAATAGTAAAAGCGGCAATAGTATTAGACTACTAAGACTTTTCTCCTCCAGGGGATGTTGCCATCAAATATGTGGGAGCTAGTTTCATTAACATTTATTGAACATATTGTAGGTACTTGGCCCCAAACTGGATCCTAAGAATACAAACATGAATAAAAGCAAGATGCTTTGCTCTAAAAGTGTTTACCACCTGGACTGAAAATTCTAAACTTTGAGGTTTTGGTTTATGTAGAACTCAAAAGTTCTGTAAGAAATATCTGTGTGTGTGAAAAGAACAAGGTTGTTTAATTAGTTCTGCTAGTTCACTTGTGCATTTTGATGGAACCTTCAAAACAGTTAAAATATAATTTTCAGAAAGGTAAACTCAAAACTCTCATGCCAGTATGAATGAACATGTATCAGTGATTTTGATTCAACTTATTACTTAATGAGGAAACTCATGATATGCTAAAGCCACTTCATATGAAAATTGGAGGAGGTTAAGTATTTATAGGAAACTTGAAAGGATATCAAGGTAAGATTGTTGGATTGGACACAAAAATAGTTAATATCCTACAGGAACATAAGCAGTAAGTTTGGGGTTACCTTTCCTGCTGATTAGATTTTGCATCTGTGCCAGACAAAAATCTCTTTAAGTTAATCTTACCCGTTTGTAAAATAGCCCCGTCAGTAGTAATCAAGCACAGTGTTGCACTGAAGAACAGCAAGTTATCTGTTTTGCTTATTTTCAAGTTTTTGTGATTTTTCTGAAAACCATACATATATTTGATAAAGTTACTATACTGACTTTGAAAATGGAAGAGATTGTTTTAAACCAACATTAAATATTCATTTCACTATGGAGAAACATGAACATTGAGAAATAGATTTAAGGAAAAATAATTTTGGAAATAGAAATGTGTTGTTCTTTAACTTTGTTTTATTGTGCTTTTGTTCTTTACCTGTTAAAATAGAGCTTCACTTAGGGCATTTAAATACATAGAGAACTACAAAGGGTAGAGCAATATGACACTACTAATGGATAATATGTGCATTGTTAACATTACTGCTGAATTATGTATCTTACCTAAAAAGAGCCAGAGACGTAATTGCCCTCATTACTACTCCTCGAGAACATTGAAGCTATCATATTACTTGGAGGAAAAAAAGAGTGTGGGGTATATTTGTAAATGCAGCTTATTACCTGTGTCTTTGAAATGCCTGTGGTACTTTGTGCGTGTGCTATTTGAATAGTGTGCTAAGAAAAATCAGTGTAAACATTTTACATATGGGGAAACATGCCTTAAAATCATTTTAGCAGGTTTTTTAGTCTCTGATATTTTTCTTGTAGGTGCCTTTTCTGTAGGATATTATTCACCAGGCTAGCCATGGAAAATAAAATTTTCTTATTATCTGTCATTACAAATGTCACAGAAAGCTAGAAAGAATCGGTAAACTTACCTTGTTCCTGAGTCTAATTTAATTCAGGTTTAATATTGACCTTCCGCCTCAACCATTACAATTTACTCTTGGATGTCTGTTAAAATTCAAGAGATGTGAGAGAATGTTGGAGTTAATTAATGGCAGTCAGTGCTGGGGGTGGGGGCGGAAGAGAAGGTTGAAGGTTTTGATTCAGAAATGCTTTTGTACTGATATCTCTTGGAACTGTTTTAGAAGATTGCACTAGATCTTTTCTGGGGCCCAGAAGAAAAGCAGGGGAGTTCTTTGAGAAAATGGAATTGGAACCTTTGACAGAAGGTCAAGGAAGGCTTCTTTAAGGAAGTAACATTAGTGCTGACTTCTGGAGAATATATTTAAATATTTGTTGAATGCCTCATACGTGCCAGGCAATATTCTTGATACTGAGGTTGTAGTAAGGTCCGGCTCTCATTAAAAATATCTATTCTCTTAATAAATGACTGTAGCAGAGAGGCCTGGGGAGAGACGGACAGTAAAAGAGGTGAACAATTATTTGAAAGATCAATAGGAATTAACTAAACAAACAAAGGGGGAGAAAAGATTGGAGCCCTAGGGTGAGGTAGGACCATGACTTTAGGAACTGAGGCCAAGTGAAAAGGAGTTGACCAAGTTGAGAGACTTAGGTAGACTCAGGTTAAGGTCTCTCCTGAGAATAGAAAATCCTGTAGGGTTATTTATATAACAAATTAATTAGATTAACTTGGTCAAACTTGCTTTTTTGAAGAGATCACTCCAGCTAAAAGGAATAGGAGAAACTATGATTTTGTGACATGAGGCCTGTTCAGGATTTCCTAAAGCCACTGAAAATAACAGTTGAACTCTAGGGAGTCATTTGGAATTATTCCAAACTAATAATGACCCAAACTGACCCAAGGGGTTCAGCCAGAACTAGATGAGCATTAGGAATGCATTTTAGCTTGCTGCATTTAGCTTCCTGTCAGCCATGATTTAGTAGTCTTCTATTTTCAGTTTAATTTTGGTATGGTATATTTGGAGCAATAATATTCCATTAAAGTGTTTTATGCTGAGTATCCAAAGCATCACCTGTGTTACCACTTGACATAAATCAAATATATGTCTTTTATATTAATCAGGGCCTTTCTTTCAATGGAGCAGTAGTTTGATTATATCCTCTGTTAGCCTGCATATTTGAATCAGGAAGGAATTTTAATGGAACTAATGGATTTAGCGTTATCTCATGTAGTCACGTTAAAAATTAACAACCTAAAATTCTTTTCCTTTTATACATAAGAGCATATAGTAAGTAGAAACTTTTGAAATGTGTAAAGTGTTATATACTTCACATTTTAATATGTAGAAAGGAAGCAACACAATGAAAATAACATCAAGATCAAGATGAGAGCCTTAGTA